GAAGGATGTATTGTTAGGTCTGGTCGGGAAAGTGAAGCTGCCCAAGTTACATCTCGTGCTCACAAACAGGCAAAATTGAGACATCCAAACTACACTATCCCCTAGGACTCCCCTGAGCTGTTACACAAGGAGGGTCTTCCCTAACGGTGTACTCCATATCGTACCCGTCACATAGATGCACATGATGCGTGTCACACACATTCACACTTCATGGACTCATCACTTTACTTGTCATGGAACTTCATGTTTTATCTCATTTCATCACATTTCACATTCTCATAGTCATAGTGTTCACAATAACACGTATTTCACATCATGTCTCATAAAACACACCACTCATGTAATTACAGTAATAAGACAATTCCCCCACAAGTTGCACCATCAAACAAGACATAAATCATGTAAAACATCATAGGGGTCATGCCCGGCGTGCCCTGAGCGCACCCGACGAATTTAATGTCGCGCCTAAAGTGAAGAATTCCGCCCGGCATAGCTTCACACGCGCTCAGCGTGACTTTCCTACGCCCGGCGCAACTTTCTTGTGCCTGGTGCAACTTTCCTGAGCCCGGCTCAACTTTTCTTGGGAAACTATGAATTTGCGCCCAACGCACTTAGTGTGAACCTACACTTTGAAATCAAACGATTTTTCACAACAAACACGTAATCATATAAATCAATCAGTAAAAATCCTCCAAATAACACCTAGAACATAAATCCATACTCAATTTTGCATAAAATACCTTAAATCTTGTCAAAAGATCATACCCCTAATTGTTTCTCATAGGGTTTCCCACGGAAACCCACAGAGAACTCTAATTCATACCAAAACTTATCTAATTTCAAAATTAAACACTTATTCACGCATCACGTCCAACAAGGAACACAATAGAAAACTCATATATCAAAACAGAAAACATTCATATTTTGCCTATTCCTAAAAGCATGCATCAGGAAAGTGTTTTCCAACTAAATTCTAAATCCAAAATCAAAGATAAGTGATCAGTTTATCTAAGCATTAAACTAATTTTAAAAGTAAAAAACAATTGATCTTAAAAGTCTTTTTCCATTAGTTACAGTTTATAGCTTTATATTGATTTTCATAACAAAAAACTAAATTATACTCTAAACATTTTTTTTGCATTTTAAAAAAAAAATGTCTACCAATATGGGTGCTTATTATGCTCTAGAACCATGCCTTTATTATAGTTTACATGTGTTCAATCCTATATAAAAGTGTTCTTCACAGATCTAACAATCACTATTTTAAACTTGGTCGTTAGGTATGTCTAATATATTTCTTTAGTGAGATCCTCAATTTTCACATCGTTTGAAAGACAACCCCAATTTTAACCTTCACCCTTAAATTTTGTGTGAAAGATGAAGCTAATGTTATACTAAAAAAGGAAATCCTTATTTAATTGATTCACTATGCTTACACTACATGGATGGGATGTTTAATGGATTGTTAGAAGAGGCTTTGGATGTTTGTATGGACTTGGATCCAAGATGAGATGCGACAAACTTTAGCTCCTAATCTAAAGCATTTTTTTTTTGTAATAATATATAGTTGTGAGAGCTAGCCTTCAAAATGGAATTTCAATTCACAATTGTTTTTAATCTAAATCATTTTATTATAGATATCAAGGAAAGACAACAATCCCCACCACCATTGGAAACATTGTCACACCAAAAAATATAGTGATTAATATATTTTAACTAACTGATGCTTTTTCTTTAGTTGCACACCCCCTGCCAATGTTTGATAGTGATGAGGTAACACATCATCCAAAAAAATGCCAACCAGAACCTCTTGAAATATTTTCTATCTTTGACATGTAAAACGCCATCTACTCTCAACACTTTTTTTATTTTTTTCCCCCACTTGAAATTTTTTTAAAATTTTTGAAATGCACCAGAACATGCCTGTTCTCATATAATTTATTTTATTTTTTATGTTTTTGAAATGCATAAAAAAATGTTTGAGGATGTAGGCATTTGTGTAATTTTGAGATGCTTAAAAGACGTCCCAATCTAATAACGCTTTTCATGCAATGCTGCTTACATGTCCAAAAACATTTATTGTGATAAATAGTTTTTTAAATTATTTATTTATTTTAATTTAATGTAGCCAAAAATCCTGTTATTATACTTTTTATAATTTTAAATATAAAAATATAAATAAGATTATTTTAAATTTTATATTGATAATGTTTTAAAATTCTTTCATTCTCTTTCAAATCCTTTCAATATTGGATGAAAAATTTTGCTCCCATCCACTTTTGGACACTAGTGGCTCCATGCTGAGTGGTGGTCAATGGGAGGAATATGACTAATAGTGGAACTTGAAGATAAGGGAAAATACCACAAAGAAAGTTGAAGAGGGTTGGTGCCTTTCATGTTTTGTGAATATAAAATTAAAAAATTTGATGTTTGAGAATAAACTAGGAGGGGAGCTAGAGAGGTACAAGTTTGACAAAGGGGTGGTGGTGATTGTTCATGTTTCAGCTAAAGGGTGGTTAATGGTGTAAATAAAAAAAGGGACAAAATGAGCATTTAATCTAATAATTTAGTTTTGATATAAATAAAAGTATACAAAACTAACAAAAGCTAAGGCGGAAGACTTTTACATACAAGTGGTCTATCATAATCCACTAAATTAATCATTTAGATTAATTTGAGATACATGTTATTCAAATGTACCCTCTACATTATATCTTATCATTTCTTATATTCAAAAGTTGACTATTATCCACCATTGTTGAAGATGATTTCCAAGAGCCACAAAACATTTTAACTTTTTTTTTTCCTCTCCTTTTTTTTCCTTTTCTTCTTCCCCTCTATTTTATGAGTTTAGATTTTGATTTGCAGGTTTTGTTAAAAGGAAGCAATTGAACATTGCAAAGGTCGAGGACAATGCCACGTGGAGGAAAGACCACGCCATGTGGAGAAGAGACAAAGCTGCGTGGAGGAGGCACGCAACATCGAAAAGGCACAACATGGCACAGAGGAGACACGACAAAATGTAAAGGTGTGTGAAGACCACGACGAAGATAGAGGTAGGGATGATAAAATAATCCATACCGAAAGTATGATGGATAAAATTCGCTACGAATAATAAATGGATAGTCTAAATGAATATTTATAAGGAACAAATACAAGTATTTTCATACTCATTTATAAACGGGATAGGGTGAGTATGGTAGTATGATACCTACGAGTATCTGTTAAATAAAATCACTTAAATATTCATATTTTTATCTCGTATATTTTATATTATTTTTAATATTAAAAAAACATTATTTGCAAGTTCAAAAATTAATGTCATTTGTTGATATTTAATATTTCAATATAATTAACATGAAATTCAAGCTTGTAATGTATTTTTTTAAAAATAAATTCACAAATATCTGTAAATACTTATAAATTTTTTGGATACCTACTTAAAAGATACCCGTGCAAGCTTGGGAAAGGTACAAGATGAATTTTTATATGGCAAGGTGAATATGGTAGGGTGAAGACGAGTACCCTACTTCTCCATCCCATGGGCCCCATTGGCATCCATAAACAGAGGTTTTCAAAACAAGTAATTTGTTGCACCAATCTTTTTTTTTTTGGATCTCGTTTAGATATGTAATCTTATATCTATTTCACAATAATCGAAGTGGTGGTTGTAGTGGTAGATGATGCAATCACAATAGTAGTAACAACAACTACGGTGGTTGTTGTGAAGGTAGATATAACTGTATTGGTGATGCTTCGATTATAACCACATTTGTTTCTAGTTAGTAGTGTTTATGTCTCTTTTTGTCCCTCTAACAAGTAGCACTCTAACAGCGGCCAAGTCTGGATACTTTGTGGTGATTAAGGTAAGGGTTACATGGGAGAAGAAGGCTTTTTTTGTTATGATACACATAATTCATAATAACAATTTGCACCTCATTTAATCAAAAGACTTATAATTGTAGTATATGGTTGACCACCTATAAGTTGGTCCATCCTAAAATTCATCTACAATTTTTTTTTATTCAATTTTCTCATTAATTTATTTATTAATTATTTTGGTGATATTTAATCATTAATTAATAGGTGAACTTGTTTCTTAAATTTTGATAGTAAAATTTATCAATTATTAACTTTTAGATTAATAATTAAGATTTTTTTTTCATATATTTTCCAGTTTTCCCTCGACTATCCTCTCCTTTTCCATTCTCATCATCATCCAACTCTTTTTATAATACTTAAATAATAAATTTTGTTTACTATTTTTTAAAGAAAAATCAATCTAAAATGTTTCTTGTATTAATTATTATTTTTACAATAAACACCCTTAATTAAACTCATTTTTCACAAATCAATAAATATTTGGTAGAGTAAGGTCCTATTAAAGCCAGGAACAATTTAAAAAAAAAAATAGAAAAACTTTAATGTTATCAACTTGATGAACAAACTTATGTAATTCTAGTGAATTTGGTCGTTAGGTATTATAAAAAAAACCCAAAAGTATTATGTTATAAGATAATTAAATAAAATTGGTGTAGAAAAAATATAATTAAATAAAATTTTATTTCTATATATTGGTAGTAAAATATTAAAAATACTTAATTATAAATCTTTGATCAATAATTATGAAATTGATAAAAAAAATATAAAATGGGATTTGATAAATTATATTAAATTAAACATTGAATAAAAAATTTACCAAAATTTTATAATTTCTTTTACACGACTACCAATTAAGTCAGGTGTGGGTGTTAAATGTTGGATTTTTTTTAATAAATTAGAGTATTCTTAAACAAAATATTAAGGACTAATTCCATTATCGCAAATATAAGATGCTATCAACACCAACAACATTCTAAATTCAGGAGTTTCAGGGTTGAATGGGCCGATTAGGCCGTTCCGAGGCCCATCTCTGTTCCTGAGGCGACAAGCCCGGTAAGCATTGCACCAAAAACTGAAAATAAAAAAAAAGCCCGTAGGGGTATCCCAGTAAATGCACGTGGAGGTTGAAACCGTCAGGGTCAGTAGGTCTCGGTGGTGCGAGAATGGCGCGCGCGAGCGAGCAGAACCTTGTGTTCACAATGAGGCCGTAGCAGCAGAACCTTGTGTTGTTGTTGTTGTTGCGTTTCTTACTTTCGCTCTCACTTCACTTCACCATAAGCACTCTCTCGCCACCAATTGGAACCCTAGAACAACGATGTGGGAGTGGTTCTCCAAGAAACCAGAGCCGCCGCCGCCGGTGGTGCTGGCCCCGCCGCTCTTCGACTTCCCCCCGCTCGCCGCGCGCAACCGCATGCTCCACTCCTCCTACGACGTCGTTTTCGCCAAGCTCGCACTCACCTCCCTCTTCCAAGACTACTTCTACCAGGCCAGGCACTTCACCACCAGAATCATGCTCAAGCCGATCGACGATCCTCACGTCGATCTCATCGCAACTGTATCTTATCCCCTCGTTTTGAATTTTTCTCTCTTTCTCGTTCTGAAACTTGCGCGATACGGAAACTGAATATAGAAAAATAGATAAATAATAATCACGTGTTTATTAATTGTTGTAATGTGTTTAGGTTTCAGGTCCTCTCGATCGGAAGCCAGAAGACAGTGTTGTGGGAAATGCTTTGTTTCGCTGGCAAAGGTTTTCTTCTCTATTGCTGCAAGCTTTTTAAATTGCTGTCGCTGTCGCAGTTCTTCTCATTCCTTGCAGACAAATGCGATTTATGTGGCCTCAATTATGGTTGAGGGCACTCGAGCAACGTTGTGGTGGCGGACTTTTTTTAAAACCTTGATTGTTCTTGATTGTGGATTGCTGAGCTGTTTTTTGTGTTGTTTTGGTGGTTGTGCAGTGATGTTAACGATCCTCATACGTTTATGGACCTTTATGTATCCACTTCCGATCCGTAAGTAGCTCTTACTTGAATGAATCATTGGATCCTAAGGGTGTGTTTGGGAAATGGAAGTGAAGGGAGTGCATGTTTTTCATTTCAAATTTTGAGAGTTTCTAAGAATGAAAAAGGAATAAGAAAGATATAATAGGAAGGACAAATGTTTAGATGCGGTTCCTTAATTGCTTTTGATGTTACTCTAGTCTCAACGATTAAAATTCGGAATCCACCTGAGTAACTTACACCGTGACAGTAGCTGTTTAAAGTCAGCATTGGATAATGAGATGAAACTTCAATTCTGATTTGAGAACAATATCAAGAGCACTCAAAGAACTACAACTGAGTTTCATCCTTTAATAAAATCTTCCAATCATTCCTTAATCATTTGTATGAAATATGAATACTATGTATGAGCAGAAATGCTAGTAACATTCTCTTTTCAATACTGTCTTTATTATTAGGTTAATGGCATGTGAGTTCCTCTAAACAGGGTCTGGACCTAGGTTTTGGTGGGGCTTACATGAAATCTACCTAGTAATCAATAATGTCTTGAAAAGAGGGTGATACTTGCATCCTTGTTCTGTATAGCTCTCTTAATTTCTTCTTTTAAATAAATGTACCCTCCATTCTATTTCCTTGGTGTCCTTGATCCAAACTACACAATGCATCTATTTGAATTTGTGAGTATTGTGTGTGGTCTGTCTATACAGGATTTTGCAGATGAGATCATGCGCTTACTATCCCAAGTATGGATTTGGGGCTTTTGGAGTGTTCCCTTTGCTGTTGAAGAAAAGGTGTGTTTTGTTTGATGATGGTGGCAGCAACATGTGTTAGGTTCTTATTGTAGTTTGCACATCATCTACGGATTGCAACATAGGGTGTTGACAAAGTTAATCAATTCCTACAGAGAATCTTCCCAAGATTATGGTCTGATGGGGTTGAGATATGGTTCTGGAAATCTATCCTTTGGAGTCACACTTATGCCTTTTGCTGGTAAGTTCATCATTTTAATGAGCTCATTGAGGGTGTTTGAATTAGCTTTGAATAAAAATGCTTTTAAGATATAATTGTTTGAGTTGTTTTAAATAAGCTACTCTATCAAGTTTTTGAGAACAATACTTATAAATTACGTTTTTCAAAAAGCTAACTATAATACTAAACCTTTTTAAACATGTTTTAAATTAGAATCTTGCTAATTAGTGTTCTAAAGACAATAGTTGAGGAATAAAAGTTTTATTGGAAATCACATTGACGACGTAATGAAATTTTCCCCTTTTGATATCCTAATGTATTCTCCCAAGGAAAATGGTTAGCATTTACTTTATTTATGATGTATATCGAATATTTCTTTATTAAAACTGCAGATAGTTCTCTGTAAACAATGTAAGATATTTATACATAACTGATGCTTTTTTGTTTGAGATTATAATTGTTTTGTCCATGATCACTAAATCTTACATTTTCTTATTGATTTTTGAAAATATTGATTTATGATCCCTTTGGAGAAACAATGAAAATAAACTTTGTTATGTAATTCTCATTCATTGCAGTGAAAGATGAATTACCAAAAAGTGCATGGCTGGTGAGCAAGATGGGAAGGGTGACTGCTGGGGTGCAGTATGAACCACAGCGTAAGAACTATACATTCCTTTAGAAATATTTTTCTGTTTGTGGATTTTTTTTCTTCATTAAAAGTACTGCATCAGTACTGGGATTTTAAAATTATTTTTAATTCATTTGGTTTTTTAGTGGCCCTTATGTTGAACTTTAATTATCATTGTGGTAGTTATATAGTGATATATTGTTTTTGAGCTTGAGTTTCATTAAAGATATTGGCCTAAAGATGTCTGCTTTTGTATTTTGTAAGTAGTCATAAAATTGATGGGCCAAGAGGGAAAATTAGTATATTTCATTCACTAGAAATTTGACTTTATTGCATCAACCTTTTAGTCAGTATGATTCATGCATTAATGTTTTGAGTGTTTTCACTTTTCACTATATTTAGATTTTAGAATGGAACCTGTGTCACCACCTGGGATTCGTGTGTTTATCTTTAAGTATATGTGTATTTGCACTTGCATGTAAGGCTACAATTACATGAAAGGTGGAGTAATAGACAGAATGAAACCAGTCTATGAGGGCTGACTAAGAGTGAGTCACAGTGGGGCAAGAACAGTTAGTTAGGGTAGTTAGAGCAGTTAGTTAATTAAAGGGGATTAGTTAGACAAATATGGAGAATAAAGATGTATGGATTCACTCAAACAATTAGAGTTTGTATGAAAGGGAAAACCCATGGAGGAGAATTGTTTCTCCTATTTTAAGGCATTCAATAAAATTGTTTGTTTCCTCTGCTTGTTTCTGTAAATTATTCATTTATCTTTCTGGGATTTGTACAGGATTGAAGAAGTTTAATTAATGCTTTATTATTTTCAAATAGTTTTGGATATGAACCCAAATAGTCACAAAAAACTAAAATCTAAGCATAATTATCTATCTTGTGCACATTTTGGGAATGAAAATTGAACAAATATGTACATTATTCTAAATTGTGTGTTTTTCAGAAGGAAATGCAAAACTTTCAAATTTGATGAACTGGAGTTGTGCCATGGGCTATGGTGTTGGATCAGGCAGCCCATTGTGTCCATCCTTCAATTTCAGCCTTGAGCTTGTCAAAAGCTCTGAGGTATGCCCACCTACATAAATTGATTAAATTTTTGCATTTTATAAATTCTTTGAATAACTCATTAGTGGGTAATATAATAATGTGCCATGTTTTCCTGTTAAAATGGGAAGTACTGTAATTTATATGAAACTGATGTTTCTCAAAACTTTTCACCAACCATTAATATTGCTTTTAAATTTTCTATTAAACTGCTGATATGTCTTTTACATTAACATATGACGGTGCAGTTTAAACCTCATGCCAAATTAAGTGCACCTTGGCATTTGTCTTCCATAAATATAAATTATAATCTGTGTAGTAATGATTAACATTTTGAGAAACATTTTACTGAAATTTGAAAGTCTAAATAATCTGCAGTTTATTGCCTCATTCTATCAACATATGGTTGTTCAAAGACGGGTATGTTCTTTGGTTCTTCCTCTCTTTCTTTCCATTGCCTTTTCAGTGGTCCTTTATCTTCACATTATAGTATATCATTTTTCACTTTTGCAAACAGTGATATTTAGATTTATTTGCATTAGCTGTATATCTTAAAACTCAATCACTAGTGGTTTTCCTGGGTTTTCTAAGAATGCTGTAACATGTATCTGATTTTGTTAATGTTGTGCATGTATCCGATTTTTTTTGAATTACCATATCCTAGTATTGTATTGTGCCAGATACAATACCTATACCTTTTTCTTTACTAGCAAGACTCAACTGTTAGTCTTGTACTCCTGGGATACCAACAAGACTAGAATTTTAATAAGTTGCTGAGTTGAGGTCACTTCATGCAAAGTTGTTTGAGTTAGAACTTAGAACTCAAGACTTGGGCCTATTTTGTGGGTTAGAAGTTCATGGACACATTTTGCTTGTGATTATTGATAGAATTCCATGATTTCTTATTTATTCTTGTTAAAAATTTATCCTTATTCAATCTTTTTACTTTTTTTGGGTTATAGTAAAAAATTGTCAGATTTAGCTTCTTGTTGAAACAGAATATGGGCCCGCTTGTTTAAAGTTTTTGAAAAAACAAATTTGTTTTTCATGAAATAAGCAGTTTTTCTACTTTTTTAATGTGTTTGTTTAAATTGTTTCAAAAAAAAATAATTTTCTACTTTTTAAAAAAGCAACTCCTATATTTTCTTAAAATATTAGTTTTTTAAAAATAACTTTTTTAATCACTTTTTTTTTTTTTTTAAACAAACTGGCTTATACTTTAAAAAATCATAAACATGACTACAATTGAGCAGGTGAAAAATCCCCTCGAAGAGAATTCCGTTGTTGGAATTACAAACTACATTGATTTTGGGTTCGAGTTACAAACAAGGTATTTTTTTTTTCTCTAAATAGATATTCAAACTTATTGTTGTTGCACCAATGTGGTACAATCTGATTTTCTATGTTTCAGTGTTGATGATGCCATAGGAGGAAACAGTATATCAGATTCCACCTTTCAAATAGGCGCATCCTGGCAGGCCAATAAAAACTTCTTGCTGAAGGTAGAAAATTGATTCAATGTTATGCAGATTTATATAGATTATATTTGATACATCTAAGTAGATTATTTCTCTTCTTTTCAGGCAAAGGTTGGACCTCAGAGCTCATCAATGGCATTTGCATTCAAGTCATGGTGGAAACCTTCTTTCACTTTCAGCATTTCAGGTATCTGAGGGATTTTCTTCTCAATCTAGGTTCAGTTCATTATCCCTGTTCTTTTCTTTGGTGGGACTGAGAGTCTGAGACTTTTCTTTTCCTTTTGCATGTGTTTATTAGAAGTAGGGGAGTACAAAAAATCCAAACTGATTTGATCCAAATTAAAAAATCTGATCCATTTAGAGGAAAAATTGAATCAATCCATTTAAAAAATCGGTTCGATTTTTTAAAAGTTCTGATTCATATATGAGTATAAAGCGAATAACTACACCTAAATAATCCAATTTAAAAAAAATTCTGATCCACATTTTTAAAATCCGAACCGGTTCACTTAAAAATACAGATTGATTAACTGGTCCACTTTTATAAAATGGGTTAGTTCGTTTGGGTTTGTATTTTTCAAAAATTCAATCCATTAACACACCTAATTAGAAGACCAACACCTATATAGTCATAATACAATGATCAATGTGACATAACTTGAGGCCCTTATTTATTTATGTATTTTTCATGACTTGGGGAAATTAGCTTCCCAATGAAATATTCTCCGGACATTTTACCTGTATTCTTCATAGAATATATATATTCTCCCTTAATTTTTTTTTATTTTTACTATGGTCACTCAAAGTTCTAGACCTACTGCTCCTGACCAAGGTTATGTATAAGTTTACTAGATGACTTGTTTACACCCTGCAAAGTTTGTTGATGTGGTGCATTATTTTCTAGATGAATAGTGAGTACCACCTCTAATATTATTTTTTACGTATGTGCTACCTAATTAGTAATCAAGCAATTTCTGTGGGAGGTGGTAGACACGACATGATCTAAAATATGTGATGTTATACAGTACTAAATTTCTAATCCTACGAAATTTTCTTTAAATCTGATTATTTGTGATACTTACAAGATTTAAGCAAATTTAAATGAAAAGGTTAAATATAAATTATAATTAGTATCTGAAAGTCAAGGAATGGGGTTTCTTTCAGTTTTTTTTTTCTTGGAGAGGATTGGGGGTTGATTCTAAAAGTATAATCAATGATCTTGGTATTGTATGTTTGAAAGTGCTGAAAATATCCTGTTTTTCTGTAGCTACTAGAGATCGTGCTGATGGTAAAATGCAATATGGATTTGGCATCCAAAGTGAGAGTCTCAGGGAAGCCAGGTTCGTTTCATGGCAAATGATTGTGTTTAGATTCAATAAATTATCTGCTAACATAACATGAATATTATTATCTATGCTGCTGTATCTTAAAATATGATTATTCATTTTAAATTTAGCTCGCTGAATAAGAAGTATTTTGTTCTTGCAAAATTTGTATCTTACATGGGTAAATGTGCATGTTCACTTATACTTCTCTTATTTGTTTGCAGTTATCAAAGAGCTGATCCCAATTTTGTAATGCTCACACCAAGCAAGGAACACTTAGCAGAGGGCATCGTCTGGCAAACAGGAAAGAGACCTATGCTACAATCTGACATAGATGCCGGACATTTTGATGGCTTACCTAGAGAATTGCGTCCTTTGGATAAAATTTTGTAACTTCATTTGGTTGTTTTATTTTTGCTCTTGAGGGCAATGTCACTATTCTTTTTTAAGAGTGGCTGATGAAAATGCCTTCATACCAATTTAATCTATAGCATTGCATTCAATTATTAACTATAGAATATTAATGAGAGAAGCATCTTGCATCTGTTCTATTTTGATATATACCGTCTGTGTGTTTCATTTTGTTGTAAATTTCGCATTTGACTATGATTTAAGTTTAGGAATGTGAATTCTTTACTCTTATGTTAGTGGAACCATTGTTTTAATTCTAAAGATTTTATTTAACCTAAGAAGATATTTTTATAATTATTATATATGTATGTTGGGGTAGAGGGTGTCACATGCAACCTAATTAAGCTTACATACTCAACAACTTTTAAATTTTTAAAATTTAGGTTAACTAGTGTTTTAACATTTGCCATGTACAAACTAAATATTTATTATATATTACAAAATTTATAATAAATTATATATAAAAATAAATATTATATTTGAATATATAAATGATATTAAAAATTTATTAATATATATTTTAAAACATATAAATTATATTTTAAATTTTTTAATAAATAGTTTATATTATAGTACAATAATATTTTTATTTATTGATAATTTATTTTAAAATATTAAAATTTAAAATATAAATAATTATGATAAATAAAAATTGAATTAGAGAAGAAGTTAAAAAAATCTTAAAGATCATCTCATTAAAAAAAATCACTAAAAATACTTTTGTATAAAATAATTGTCCATATTTAATATATAGATGTTGATTTAATCATTCTAAATGGTAATATTTTTTATTCTTTGACATGGTTTTGAATATTTATCTTTTAATAATTCAAAATGTTAAATATTTTGTTAGATTCATTGCATAAAAATTGTTGAACCCAAATTATAGCTGAACCAAAAAGAATCAAATGAGATAAAAAAAAATCATGCAAAAAAAGTCCAAGGAGCCATTAGAAAATTAAAAACAATTCATTTAGTGCTTATTTTAAGACACAATTCAGAAAAAAAAAAATGCTCATTTTTATAAGATACTTTATAATTTTGATAAAATATTAATTTTATTTTTCATCTTTTTCATTATTAAAGATTGTAAGAATATGTACTTTTGTTGGATAATGAAAAAAAAATGAGAAATAAATGCTCACCTCTTATCTCTTAAACTCTCCAATTATCATTTCTTGATGCATAAACTTTGATATGTATTTCATCTTTCTTGAATATTTAATGATAAGTATAGGGATGACAATGGGTTCCGTGGGACGGCTAATAGTAAATTCGTCCCCGCCCTGCTGGATGGGGGGAAACCTCCTCCTCCCCTTGGACCTCAGGACCCTCAAGCTCGGCCACATGGTAGCCATAGTGCTGCTTCCAGCCACGCCACAGGTCCCTTCCCACAATACCTAAGTACAGAAATCAAAGCACATCAGCAGGCATTAAACCCCAACAACTAAACGAAAACAACAAAATACGCACCCTCCAAGTCTCCCTCCCTGTGCGCCGAACGCTCGAGCGACAGGATGAGCTTGCAGTCCAGCGGACGAGGAAGTGCCTTCAAAGCTTCAACAGCAGCCGTCTCCGACGGCGTTAACTTCGACGGATCCACCCCATGAAACCCAACAGGGTCGTGGCACCAATAGAAAGGAAACCTTGGCAGCCCACCAAAGTAGAATCCCCCGTCCTCCAAAGGGTTGACACCAGCAAGAGTAACCCGAAAAAAATCCTGCCTGTAAATTTTATATGAAGGGGAGTAGGGGGTAAACAAACCCCCCTCCTTTCCTCCATTTAAAGACAAGGTCCCGTACGTAGGACCACCCACCTTCAACTGGTAAAAAGAAAGGAAGACCGGCAGGGATACCTCCATCCCTAGAACTCCACTCAAGATCTCGAACACCCTCAAAAAGCCCCAGTTGTGGGATGCAACTGACTGGGGGCCGCATTAATATAGTTCAAAAAATCACTTTTGAACTGTGTAAAGGGAAGACAAACACTCAAATCTCTGAAAAAGCTCTCATATACATAAAATGAGGGGGAATCAGCAGACCTTTTCATGTACACACCCTCGCCAGCCGAACAAGGCTCCAGTCGGACCATCCGAGAGACGGAGGGGTCACAAATCCTGTGCGTCTCCCACAGTGCATCGACCTCCGGTTTCGAATCAAAGACACTCGCAAACCTGGCCATTTCGCGTTTGACCCACTCATAACCAGGAATGTCCAGCTCTGAGTCTCCAGGCGGAGGCACCCCTTTTGCCTCGGCGGCGACCACCGCCTTGCCACGTACCCTACCCCTAGTGGAGGCAGAAGACTTGCCGCCATAACCACCAGCCATCAAGAAAACACAAAGAAAACGGAAACGAGGAGCAAGCAAAGATGAGACATGCGCAAGAAGCCGATAGACAGAAAAAGAGTAAAGCGAAATGGGCAAAGGCGCGAGAAAGGGAAAAGTCTCTCCCCAAAATTCAAAACCGCCAGGCTACGTGTCGACCAAGGGGCACGCCTGACAAAACATTAAATGCAAGCCATCATCGCTTAACCTCCATTTCCTTTAGTGCGCCGCCCGCACGTTTCAGAAGTAAACAGCCGCGCCACGTGGCGAAGCTCCAGATAGCGTACGCACTAAGTCACTCCCCCTCTAGCAAGCCCGGTCTTAACTCCTCAACCTACGGCTTTCGGAGCTCGGGGGGCTAGTGTACTAACCGTACTTCGCACCCGGGCTCCTAGCCCGGATTAGTGTTGCAAATAAGTAACCCCGGGCACGCGGTGCATGACGTCAGCCCGGCATTTGAGCGAATCATACCTGATTCCGAGGATCTCGTCCCAGACCAGATCCGCCCTTCAATTATATCATATCATATCATGATATATCTTATCTCAAGCCCAAAAGCCCAAGGCAAACCTAGATAACCTCAAGGTACGTGCATTATATATATGAGACCATTATTCGTGCAAACCCTAACTTTAGCATCGGAGTCTCTTTTGCAGGTACCTCCCCCATCTCGGAGCACCAATACACCCAGCAAAGGAGGCTCACCAATCTTACCCGGCGGATCAGCTCTACAGCAGATTTTCGGTAAGAACAGAAATTAATAAGAGAGAGAAAATATTTAATTTTCATAAATTAAATTAAATTACTATAATATCCTTTATACAAATTAACCAAATCAAAAGAAATGCCTGATTTTTTTGTCCTAAAATTTTGGTGTAGGTTGCTAACATACTCCCACTAAAAAATAGGTGGGAGTATATTAGCATTCCCCATATATATATAGTAATTTAAATTCTTTCTTTAACTTATTTCTCTCTCATCTCTCATAAAATGACAGTGAATGAAGTTAATAAGAGAGAGAAAATATTTTATTTTATTTTAAAATTAAATTAAATTATTATAATATCCTTTGTACGAATTAACCAAATCAAAAGAAATGAGTGGTTTTTTTGTCCTAAAATTTTGGTGTAGGTTGATAACATACTCCCACTAAAAAATAGGTGGGAGTATATTAACATTTCCCACATATATATATATATATATATATATATATATAATCATTCAATATAAAGCAATATATAGAATCCTAAGTGCTAATCAAGCACTACTATACAGACTATCAAAAACACTCCAAGATAAGACTATACTGCCAAAATGGCCCTGCAACATCTCCATGAAGCCTACTTAGATTAGTTCAGATTTTTTATAGTACAATCCAATTTAGTTCAAAGTAGTTTTTTTTAGTGCTACAATTTTGGTTCAACCATTAAATGTTTATCTAATGATTGTTAAAATTGTAATATTAACTATGAGTTAACATTAAATAAATGATGTGATGATTAATATTTAATAACATTTAGACTAAATTATTTTTGTGTCGTATTTTTTTTCTCTCTTTCTATCCCATAAAAGCATATAAAAATGAGGTAAATTGAGACTTAAAAATATAATTTATCTTAAATGTTAATTGTTATATCATTTACTTAATATCAACTTATGATTAATGTTACAATTTAATATAGAGCATAAAAAAAATATTTAATGGTTGGACAAAAATTATGAATTTTACAAAATTAAAAAATATAAATAACAAAAATTAAGGGATCAAAATTACTAATGAAATATTATACGAGACAAAAAACTATAATTTATCTTAAATATAATAAAAATGGACTAAAATAAGATGCTCGTGTTGTATTTTCTCTCTCACCTATTAAGAAAGAACAAGTGCCACCATCTTTATCTATTGAAGTTCATGAAGTACTAAAAGCTATCTCAGAGTTAAAGATGATGGTCACTATCCTAGTCATTTCCCTA